AGACTTCGGTTTTATGAAGATGGCGATGGGATAGAGTTGTGCTACTTGTAGTCGTTTGATAGCATTTCCAGAAACATCCAGGATGCAGTGTTTACCCTGAGACAGAAGCACAGAGCTGTAGCACACAGAATCACACGAGCTCTCACATTAAGATCATTTTAAAACAACTCATGTGTTTCTAAATCGTCTTTGCTTTGCTTTGATTTCTCAGAGAATACATTGCCCTCTGCACACCTATTATATTTAACTATATTTTAAACGCTTCTCTGTGACGCTGCTGGCAAACAGATCAAACCTTACCCTCTCAGCCACGTATCTGACAGAGTGGACGCTCGTTCCATAGAGATTATCATTATACTGCCCAGCCTCGATGAACTTGTGCTCTTGGATGTCCTTCTCCATCTGTTCCCTCGACATCACAAAGTGGTAATCCCGCCCATCAGCCTCGTAGTCCCTCCTTGGTCGAGTGGTATCTTCAGCAAGAGCAGGAACATTAACTCTTAGTAACTTTACATTTGCTATAATTCCATCTAAATGAATAAGTAACTCACTCACATTTTACAATCCTCACATTAACTGTAACAAATTCACCTTTAAATCCAACAGAGATTAAACTGGAAACATGGGATAACACTGCTAGCACAGCACAGCAATAACACGGTAATGCTGGGATAACAGTTTATTAATGAACAAGTAAAATACTGATATACTTGTGATTAACACCAAGGTGCTGCGTGGCCTTTACTTCAGTAAGTAGATAGTATTACTATGTTCTGTCTTTATTATCACACTAACACTAAAACCACTCTACCATGTTATTACCAAGCTGTGACATCAATGTGATCATGTTTTTGAACTCACAGGTAAGAGCCTCTGTTAATATATGGAGAGGATGTGGCACAGAAGTCTGTATTATTAGTGCACCATAATGATATAATAATAATATCAATGACAGAAATTCCACATTTTACACAAACTGTGGTTCCAAAAAGATGAAGGGACTTGTTTAAGGGAACTACTTCACTTTAAAGGACTTTCTAAACAGTAGGTTGAGAGAATCAGTTCATGGGCTCACTTACCTTGGTAACCTGAGCGGTTAGCAGCTTTATATGGTTCAAAGGGTAAATTCAAATAAGAGATGGGTAAATAAAAACATGCAAAATCAAAACTGCTGCAGCTGATGACAAACACAACACACACAGCTGAAGAAGAAGAAGGCTGATCCTGTTGGGTCAGCTTGTGACTTTCTCTTACAAACCAGCAATACCCGAGCCACTGTCATTACATTAGGTAATATTTAACACGAGGTTCCTGTGTGGAGGAGATTACAAGATCTATTCTCACAATGGAGACCATATATACTTGGTTTACTACAATGAGAAGGCTGGTCGCTCACTATGTGTTAACAGACCTCTCTGCGCTGAATCATATCTGTTATTAACCTCTGTCTCTCTTCCACAGCATGTCTTTATCCTGTCTTCCTTCTCTCACCCCAACCAATCACAGCAGATGGCCCCGCCCCTCCCTGAGCCTGGTTCTGCTGGAGGTTTCTTCCTGTTAAAAGGGAGTTTTTCCTTCCCACTGTCACCAAAGTGCTGCTCATAGGGGGTCATATGATTGTTGGGTTTTTCTCTGTATCTATGAAGCGCCTTTAGGCGACTTTTGTTGTGATTTGGCGCTATATAAATAAAATTGAATTGAATTGAATTGGTGCAACTTGTGTGAGCTGTCCCTCAGCTACTGATTGAATCGCTGCAGTTTTTTATCCATTTTCTTAACTGTTTGTATAATTTAGGGGCGCAGGGAGCTGCTGCCTATTCCAGCTGTCCAAGGGTCAAAGGTGGAATCTACCTGAGCACCAGCAGAGTGAGACAGACAACCACTCTCACATTCACACATACTGTATTCAGACATGCTGTAGAATGGCCACAGACATGCATGCTAACCAAACATGTGTTTGTGCTGTGGATGGGAGCCTGAGAGAGCAGACAGTAGAGAACATGCAGACTCTACACAGAAAGGTCTCCAATGGATGCAGACGTAGACATTTCTTCCATTAAGCTGGAATACTAATCTGTAATGTCCACTTCATCCTTACATTAGCAAAGCAAAGTCAAATACGTACGCGGCACACAGGATCCAAACTTGTCTGGGAACTCCGATATGAGGTCATCGTTGATTCTTTCCTTCATGGGTCCCAGGATGATGACCGGTCTGGCATAGTTAACTAAAGCAGAAACACAGACTTCATAAACAGTCAACTCTTAGAGGACCGTAGCTTTAGTTATGTTGTCATCTACAAAGGATATATCGATTCTTGTAATAGAAAAATGAATAAATAGTAGAAAATCTGTAGAGTAGACAGCAGCAACTGGGAAACTGTTTATACACTTCGATTTCACATGAGCAGCAGTTTGTGGTGAGAAAATGTATTAAAACCATCCCTGACTTTGTTGGGCTGTTTAACAGAAAAGAGGAATAATATGGAGTTTAGGCTGGCACACAAAAACTGTTTGTAAAAAAAATACATACGAAACTACATTTTAACAAAATATATAATTTCAAGAAGCCATAAAAACAAAAAAACAATCAAGCTGTCAGAGTGGGCTGTGGGCTGTCAGAGTGGGCTTAACCCCAATGCATCCACCCGTGTGACTGTCTGTGAATGTGGCGTGTGCAAAAATTCCCAAAGCCCGAGAGAGCTGTGACGTGTTTGTATTTAAATCAGCAACTTGAAAGTGAAGCTCATTAATGCTCAGTGGCTGATGAACGTTTGCTTTAAGGACACAAAAGAATGAATAAATTAATTAAGTGAAAAAACCCCCACAACCAATACAGCCTTTGTTCTCACAACAGCACACAACTAACTGTAAAATCCGCTGCCCCTGTTTCCTGGAAGAATCTGCAGGAGGAACTGAAACTGTGGTTATGTTGATGAAGTCCATCTTTAAGGAACGAGAGAATAACTCTGTTAGTCCGTGTGATTGTTTTTAATGTCGCTCTTCACTGATCTGTTATTGTGTATTTTTCACATGTTTGTGCGGGATTTTGTATTTGTTATGCACTTATGTGGTACATGTATTTTTCACTTATGCTGCCATGATGCCAGGTCTCTTTTGGAAATAAGATTTTTAATCTCAATGAGGTTTTTTCCTGGATAAATGAAAAACTAATAATAATAAAGTTTTAGCTTACCTTCATGACGCATCACTGGTTCATATGAGAGAATCACTTCCTCTTGACTTCCTGTTAGGATATTTCACAAAATACAGTGCTATCTTTAGCTATCAGGATTTGTGGGCAACAAAGAAAAACCATCAAAATACACGTAACAGCCTGAGATAACTCTAATAATCAACATTTTATTCATGTTCTACATTTACTGATATTTTAGTATCTTCTAAAGTTTACAAATGAGAACTTAAACGGTGGTTTCAGGGATGCGTTTGTGTTGTCAGTGCTAATAATCAGCTCATTTAGGAAACTCTTAAAAACATAAAAACTTCTTGATTTGAATTTTAGGTACTGAAACATAATTAAATACTCTCAGTATTTAGCAATAATCAAACCACTGGACATAAACACAAACCCGCAACGCTGAAACACGAACAACAGCCAATCACATTTTACTGTAGAAGGCCCAAACAAACAGATGTAACCGTGGCAACCTCTAAGACTGTCATTCAAGCTGCTCATAAACGAAAGCACCATGCAAACATGCATGAAACAATATCCACACAGTGAGGCTGGAATAATAAAGATCATGCTGGTGGAGTCGTGACAGATCCCAGTGGTTCCTCCTCAGGCCGAATGCAAGGTCATAACTGTGTCCTGCAGAACCTGCCTAACAAATCATGCAGCTCTCAGATAATGCAAACATTACAGACGCGCCAAGGTGTAAATGGCTCAAGCCACCGAAAGCATAAAAACTAACCCAATATATGTATAATAAGATTTCAGTAGTTTAATTTAAATATTTGTCCTCTGATGCATTTTAAACGATTCTTTAAAGATGGTTACTTGAAATCCTTACATGACATTATACAGATGTTAAACATTTTTAAACCTCTGCCACATGTCATGTTTTAGTGAACCAAGAAGCAAGATAAAGCCAACAACTGCAGCATGCAGCAATGCAGGCAGAAGAACAACCAACTTACTTAATGTCTTTGTCCCATACCCATCATCACCTATCCCCAGGATGTCCTATTGGCCGTCCACAGAGAGCCAGAGCAGAAGAAAGAGAGCAAGGAGGACAGCCACAACATAAGCAAAAGGTGGAGGAAATGAGGACAGAGGGCCCACAGATCTGTCCTTCTCAAAACAACGAGCGGCCAGCAGGGAAAATACCAAATGTTGGACCTAGATGATCTCTGAAGGGAAACTGGGTCCTATAATCTCACCACAGAATGAACAGCAGGGATTATGAGAGCAGTGATTATCGCATTTCTGCATCAGGAAAGGCAGAAAACCAGGATGACTGCAAAGAGCCTCCGTGAGGTTCCCACGCTTGGAAACACACCTGTGGTTTCCCTCTGACGTGTGACCTACGCTGACTGCATGAAATGTGTCTGTGAGCTTACTTACGGTCTGAATCACTGCCATCCTGCTCACCATCTTTGTTCTTGTAGAATGGGAACTTTCGTGTAAAGATGAAAGTCTTTTTACGTTTGTCAGTGAATGACTGCGAAGGGAGAGAGAGCATGGGGCAAACAGGTGTGTCATTGTCATGCAGACAAAACTGTTGGCAGGAAGTAGAATGTCAAGAAGTTAAGTGTTAATCACTGCTGCGTGTTTTCATTTGACCTAATAACATGTGAAGCTTTGAGCCGAGCTCAGACAACAACAGCGATATTTAAAAGGACCGAGCTTCTTCTGCTGTACTCCTAAATAAATCAGTGTGAGATTGCACACTTCTTGACATGCCACCCGTTTAAAATAAAAGCAAAGTGAGAGACAGTTACCAGAACATGCCATGAAAAATAAAATATAAGAGGTTCATACGAACACGTAAAAACATGCAGTAATAGAAGGAAAAGATGGAATCTGAGAGGATGACAGCTGAAATAACCTGTATGATGTGTGTCTGTGTAAATAAACCACATCTGTTTCCAAAATGAAGTTGAGCTGATAATTCACAGGTGGTGCAGGTTTGACTTGTGGGAGGTAAGATTAATAAATGAAGCACATCTACAGCTGTGAGAAAGGGTTTGTGGCGCTTTTCTACTCGGAGCAGTCAAAGCACTTTACACAACTTGCCTCATTCACTCTTTTCCATGTGAGTGCTCTCTAGCTAACATTCATACTCCGATGGATGCATCGGAGAGCAACTTGGGGATATTGCCCAAGGCTTCTTGGCTCGCAGACTAGAGCAGCAGGGATCGAACCACCAACCTTCTGATCAGTAGGTGACCTGACTACCGAAGTCAACTATACACAGAAACTACTTGTTTTTCATGTCAAGTAATCACTCACAGTGCCGGCTGGAAGAATGAGTAAGCCCCTGACTTCAGCTAGCCAAAGACTCCTGCATGATCTACAACACTGAGCAAAAAAATGAAAATGCTCAGTGTTATATTTGGAAGTTAAAAGCCTGGCAAACCTTTACAAGCCTGTAAAGTGTGGTGGAGACCACCCTGGGCCTGCGCACATTGTCATCACTGGATGCAACCAAAAGTGAAATGTGGCAGGAGAATGTCGGGGCAGGAAGTCCGTGACCTGAAGCTTAGTAGAGGTTGCTGATTAAACAAGGTGCAAATCAAAGCACAGACGTAAAATATCAAGAGAAACAAATACAAATGAAGACGTTTTACAGAAGAAATGATCTGATGGACTTTTCCAAAGTTAAGCTTTACTCGCCTGCACTGGAAGTGATTACTTGTTTGTTCAATGAAGGCATAAAAATGTTTGTGTTAACTTTGTTTGTATTTGTTTGTATAAACAGCTCTGCAAAGATTTAAAGGTTCAGCTTCTTATGCATGTTCAGTTCTGTCTGAACTAGCCTGTGGATCATCGCACTAATAGAAATTTCCACTTTGCAAGGTACTCACCGCTTTGGACTCAAACGACCCCGGCTTGGCGTTGAATTTAACAGTCTTTAGACGTGCCCGCTCTTTCCTTTCCACCCTGTTGAGGAAATAACTAGTCATTAAGTTATATATATAAAGTTTAGCAACTGTGAGCAGAAGAAGTCTTAACAGTTTCTACTCTACACGTGCTCCTGCCCTTTCCAGTGATCACAGCTAAACATCAGCAAACATCAGGTGTAACACACTGCTTATTGAATCGAGTTCATTGTGTGCTTCCTCCTGTCAGCCCACTTTAACTGCTTTACTTTTCTATTGCTGATCTTACCAGGACCTCCTGATACTTACTGAGCACCTGCGCGCTGAAGCACCTGAAAGTACCTGAAGTTGAAGCTTGTTTTAACAAAGGGGACAAAAAACTAATAGCTGTCCAAATACAGTATCATGGCCCTGCATTTGTACACTGCTGAATGAAATTACAGGAGCACTTCAAAGCTAACATACAAGCTCCTAGTTGTTGCATCCACATTCACCTTGTATGAATTTAACAAACCTGCATCGCTTTGTTCTCAAGTTCAAAATAATGACTTCTATTTTTTTAATTCAGTTACATTTTATTTATTTGGCACCAAATCACAGCAACAGTCACCTCAAGGGGCTTCATATTGTAAGGAAGAGAGCCAGAGATCAAGAATCATTAATGATTGATTATAGTTTATTAACCCATGATGAGTGAAAATGCCCAGTGCATCATGGGAGTCCCCGGCAGCCTATTGCAGCATAACTAAGGGCCGATTCAGGGCAACTATATGCTTTGTCAAAAGGACCTCTAACCTTGAGGTCAAGGTCACCAAGTTTTTGGTGGACACACCAGTTGCATCACTTTCACTCCCGTGTCTTTGTTCTAGTTTTCACACTCACAGGATTTTCAGAAAATTGAGGCCGAAGTCACCGAGATCCAAACTCGTGTGAGATCTTCAGTAACGCCCACACTAG